CGTGCGTACTCGAGCGTACTCGTGCGTACTCGTGCGTACTCGTGCGTACTCGTGCGTACTCGTGCGTACTCGTGCGTACTCGTGCGTACTCGAGCGTACTCGTGCGTACTCGAGCGTACTCGTGCGTACTCGTGCGTATGCTCGAGTACTCGCGTGCAGTCGCCCATCGCGGCCGCAATGAAGGTTAAGATGATGCTGATGATGATCACGTTCATGCTCCAGTCAAGCTGGTGGCGATGTTGGTGGTAGCGGCGGGGCTGGTGGCGGTGGCGGCGATGGTTGCAGTGGTGGTAATCCTGATGCTGACGTTGTGATGACGGTGGCATTTCTACGGTAGGCTCCCAAAACCCAAAACCCCAAAACCAAGAACCCTAAACCCCTAAACCCCAAAGCCCTAAACCCCTAAACCTTCCTGCGTAACACCTCTTCGTGCCTTCTTACCCTAACCCTCCGGGTACCTACTATATAGGGTACCCTATATAGTAGGTACCTGGGGGGTTCGGTTATAAGCAGCTTACCGGGTGGCCCAAGTCTCTCACAGTCGGAACCTTGGCCCCAAACCCAGCCGCTGCCTGCTCCTGAGCTGCCTGTAGGTGTGCCTCGGTGTCGCTGGTAGCAGCCTCCAGAGGCACTTCTGCTTTAGGGTTTAGGGCTTAGGGGTTTAGGGTTTTGGGGTTTAGGGGTTTAGGGTTTAGGGTTGGGAGATCTCAGCTGGATTCGATAGAGGTTTTACACTGGCTTTAAGAGGTGTTCACCCCTAAGGGTCCAATTACCCAAAGAATATAGGGGCGTTCGGTCCTTCTTCGGTGCCATGAATCCATTCCCTTTATCTTGAGTTTGGGACCTGGGACCTAACAGCCCTACTATTTGCATACGTGAACCCTCCAGGTCGAGGATGCAGAGTGTCTCCAAAGTTGGGGTGCCAAAGTTTCCTTGACAATTCTGAGAGGGATTTACACTTTTTGTGAGGTTTCTCTGGGTTTCTCGCCAAAAAGCACCACACAAGTGGATACTTACCCATCTACGACTCGGGGCTCTCAGGAATTGGGCCTCAACCGTTTGCACGGATTCAGTTTATGTCGAAGCTCCAGGGTTCGGGAAGCTGTATAGGGCTTTCAAGCCGGAGGTTTGCAGCCTAAGGCTGGTTGGGGCTCAGGCTTTGGCAAGATGTTTGGGCTTCGGAGCTTAGGATTGAGGTCTTAGGCTCACAAAGGTTGGGATCGTGGGCGAAGGCGGCGAAGGGTTGATGTGGGACCAGGACAGGAGTTCCCAGCAGAAAAGCGGCAGCAGCGGCCGCCCCCCGGGAAATCTGTCAAGTTGAAAGCCATGTAGCCAGACTCCAGGGTCCCAAGCCTGAAACCCAAGAGCCTGAATCCTACCCTCTGCACCCTGAGTAGTCAGTAGTAGGCTTGCCATATGCTGGCCTTGGCACTGTCCAAGGCTACCTGCATCTCCCGGCGTTGCTCTGTGGCCTGAGAACCAGCAGATCCCCAACTCAAACGGATGGACATGTCTCATGTCCCTGATCTTTGGAGCTTCTGAGAAGAAAAACTACGTAACGGGATCCTGCATTTTACAGTCTGTAGGTGGTGATCTCCTACTGCTTCTCATGGCTCTTAGACCTGCTGGTCGGGCCTGTTCTCAGGGTTCCGGGGTGAGAGCCTGCCCAAAATCCTAAAACTGTACACAAACACTACACGAAACCACCGAAAAATAATCAAAATGCCTTTGGAATCCAAAGTTGCCCCTGGAAGCAGCCACAAAAAGCCCAATTCATGACGAAGACCTCCCTGCACACACTTTTGTAACAGATCTTAAGAGCCCACGGCTTAGGGTTTAGGGTTTAGGGTTTAGCCCGAAAAGACGAAAAAATAAGTCTTAAACAGCTGGCCGGCTGTCCTCAGTCGAAGCCCCAAAGCCCTGAAAAGCCTGAACTCAGCCCGAGGTGCCCGAAGCCCAAAACTTTAGGGTTTAGGGCCTAAAGGGTTTAGGGTTTAGGGCCTAAAGGGTTTAGGGGGTTTAGGTTTTAGGGCCCAAATGGTTGGGGTTTAGGGTTTAGGGACCCTGGGGGTTTAGGGCTTAGGGCTCGCCCGAAACTTGAAACCCGAAACCCCTAGATCTTGGGGCGTGCTTAGGGTACTGGAGGGGTGGAGGGTTTAGCCTAAACCACCCAAACTTTATGGAACCCAAACCCTAAACCCTACAAAACCCTAAACCCTAGACCCAAACTTTATGGAACCCCCAACCCTAAACCCAAGGGAACCCTAAGCACAACTGAAAGCCTGCGTCCTGGCCGTCACGAGCTCCTCTTGGCTGGCGTGCGCCGCTGCCTCTGAGGGCAGAGAGATTCCGGGGCTCGTGAGTCGCATAGAAAAGATATATACTCTACACACACACACATGTATGTATATATATATACACATATACATATACATACATATATATATATACATGTGTGTGTGTGTATGTATGTGTATATATATATATATATCTGTGTGTGTGTGTATGTGTGTGTCTCTTTGTGCAGGCACTCCAGGAGAAGGCCGCCCAAGTTTCGGCACTGTTTCGGAGGAACGCGCCAGCTTTGCAACGGATGAGACCCAGCCAGTCGACATCATGGGAGTTCCCGACCCGCCCGAGCCACCGTTGGGAGATGTTGCAGGCGAGGACCAATCTGCTGAGGACAGGCGACGTGCTTACCAGTGTGTCCCGGGGACTCCTACCCGATCCATGCTGGGAAAGGAGACGCGTGAAGAGTGCACCCCCAGCTCCCAGGTGTGTGTACGCCATTTCTTTCTGTGTGTGCAACTACGAGTATCTATATATATATATATGCGCATTGCGTAATTTTCAATAACTTAAATTGGAATGTCTTGTGTGATGAAGCCTTGAAGGTCTTAGGTGCCACTCCACCAACAACACGAGCCGAACAGTTGGCCTTGAAGGGCAAGAAGCGGAAGAACAAGAAATCCAAGACGGGCTTGACGGCCAAAAAGAAGAGGGGTAACAAGAAGGCCCTGCCTTCGCCGAGCCGGCGGCGACGCAGATTGCTTCGCCGCAAATCCAAGTCCTCGCACTCTTTGTCTGAGAAGGTGATTGCAGCAGATGATGCGAAGCCTGTTGAACATGCTTTGGACGTCGAAGCAGAACTTAAGCCAAAGTCAACACGAGGTTCCAAGAGCAGAGGCCCAAAGGCCAGCATCAAGGACGCATCGCCAGCGGACCCTGAGAGCAAAGTGAAGCCATCCAAGCCAGAAGCAGCAGCAAAGGGCAAAGCAAAGGCAAAAGCAAAAGCAAAAGCAAAAGGAGCGCCAAAGGCAACAGCAAAGGCAAAAGCAAAGGCAGCAGCAAAAGCAAAAGCAAAGGCGAAAGCCAAAGGAGCGCCAAAGGCAACAGCAAAGGCCAAAGCAAAGGCTAAGGGTGGGCCAGTGGACAAGAAGCGAGGGCGGTCCTCGGCCGGATCGCTTGATCTTGTCATGCCAAAGGACCTGGAGGGCTGGTCGGATATGAACATGCAGGTGGTCTTGTCTGCCTTCGCTAGGGAGTGGTATGATCACAAGGATGATTGCATGGCTAACTTCAAGCTACTCATGCGTGATGTCTTGCCGCCTAGCCAAAGCCATGAAGTTGCTTGCTTGAACATCTACTGGACGCGGTTTTCCTGTGGAGTTACCATCAAGTCGACGAAGAAGGATTTCGGATCCTATCATCTGCCCCACAAGAAGGCAGCGCCAAACCTTCGATTGGCCGTGACTATCAGGTGTGCTCTGCTGATCGCTACATGTCTATACATAGACAGTCCCGTTTGCGTCCTTGCTGTTGTCCATATGTTCAAAATAAATGAGTTGTTACAGTTAGCCGAGGTTGAGTTCTTGGACATGATGATGAACGAGAAATGCCCGCACACTGGGCAGACCTACCGGGAGCTGGGAGTAGACAAGCTCCTTGCCCTCCCCTTGATCACAGAGGTCTTCGAGAGCTTGAAAGAGGATGGAGCAGCTGTTGTCGAGGACATCGCTTCTTGGCAGGAGGCTGAGGATGCAAGGGCCTGAGGGCCTGAGAGCGCTCTACGATGTTGCACTGATTTCTGAAAGGCCCAAGGGTTTCGGGCTTATCATTTTGTGTGGCTCGACGAAGCCAATTTCAAGTTCTGGCGATGCTGCAATGTACAAAGCTTGTAGCTGCAAACCGTCAGGTGCAGTTGTGACTAGGGGGTCTGGGCTTGAACCCAAAAGGTTCGCATGAACCCGGACGGGGACACAATGTGCTCCCTGGCGATGCTTGCTATGTCGATGTACTTAGTGTGGCTGCCAAATCGTGGCCTGTCCTGCTGCGGTTATGATTGCCACATACTTATAGGATGCTGCAAAATCCTACCTCAGATCTTTGTTTACTTGTGTACCAAAACATACTTATATCCACGATGCGGCAGGGCGATGTGCCACTCAACCGTTCTTTTGCGAGTGACTGCTGTTAGACAAGGAAGCCAGGCTGCCGAGAGTAAGTGTGTGTGTGTGTATGTACCTGAGGAACCCTTTATGTGAAGCCCTCTATATAATTATATATACGTGTATATATATATATATTAAGCCCTTAATTGTAATTCATATAAAAACACTCAGTCCCACATATACTCACATGCCCGTGTGCATGCAACACATGAAAACTCCACAGGCCTGGGTAGACCCTTGGTCTTCTTGGATTGGCAACAGAGTTGCCTCAGGGGTGCCGGCATGCAGAGGCTTGAAAACGAGTGCCCCAGTCGATCTCCGTTCAATGCCAGCTGCAACTCAGCTTTGCTCATTGCTCACAGAAGCGGTGCACACTGTCAATGCGAAAGCTACCATGTATTTCGTTTGCCACACTCTTGCTTTGCCCAGGTCACAGCGAAGCCAGCGGTGTGCCGGAAGCCCTGGTCCCACGGTGCCAGCAAGACAGTGCACAAGACACTGAAGAACAGTCTTCTCTGGCACGTTTACACCGTATCTGCACTCGCTGAGTGTTGCTTTGTCTCAGTGCAACAGTGCAGCATGCTCCATCGTCAGATTCCAGCCTGATCCTCCCAAAAAGCGCGGCCCAAGACAGTAGGAACGGCGCCTGCCACCCCGGTGGGATTGCTACGATGGTGTGTTTAGATTCTCTGCTGTGGCGACTCAAGCAGCTCCAGGTTCCCAAGGCGGGACAAGCTACATAGGATTCTGAGTGGCATGCACTGGTCGGTTTTGTGAATGGTTGTGACTGACCTACCAGGAGTTCGTGGTCACCCTGCTCCTGCTCGTTTGGTCTTATGACTGCATTGGGGAGGACATGGTCAATCGCGGTACACAACATGTTTTCGGGATAAACAAACATGTTCGATGCAGTGTGTACTTGTGGCCCTATTGCAGGACTTTCACATGCTGGAATTCTTCGCGGGACGTGGCCGAGTCTCGGAAGAATTCCGAGCGGCAGGGCATCTGACAGCCAAATTCGACATTTTGTACCACTCTGCTAAACCTGGCAAGAGTAACTACATGGACCTGGCAGCTCCAAGTGGCTTTTTGCTGCTCTTTTGCATCCTATGTGGGTTTATATAGGGTTTGTAAGGGGCAAGATGTTTGTTAGCAACAGTTGTGTTCCACCCTGCTCCAAACAATATTTCTTAGGTTGGCCTGCTTCTATGTGTTACGGTGTGTGCCGGGGGACGCTCTATGCCTCTTCGCTGTCAAATGCTCCTCGTTCTGCTCAATGAACTCTGGCACAAGCAAAAGGTCAGCTTGCAATGCGATGGGCTGGGACAACATGCCTTCGGTGTGTGCAGCTAACACTTTGTTAGAGAGGCCCGCCCTTATCGAGTGTAATCCCTCTATATATATATGTGTGTGTGTATATATATATGTATATATAGGGAATATAGAGGGCTCATACAGGGTTCGGAAAGATATAGTATATACATATATATATGTGTGTGTGCTTCATAGGAAAATGTTTATAGGTATATATATATATATACCTATATGAAGATATATATATATATAATATAAACGCCCTTTGACCTTTTAAAGCCTTGTGAGCCACATACTCTACGCACAAAATGCCCTAAGTAAGCCCGATGCAACCCACCAAAAAAACTCACCGAAGCCCTTGAATCCCTGACCCGAGAAAACTGTCAACCGTTTCTACGCAGGACGGTCCTGCTGCTGTACTTGGCTACGAGCAGAGGCTTGACGTGGCTGGTGGAGCAACCCCGAACGTCTGTGTTGGAGCTCTATCCAACATTTAGGGCCATGTTGTTGAGCCTGTATAGGGTCGCAGGACCACGAGCAGATACCCGACTGCAACAGAGCCTACAGGGTTTAGGGGGTTTAGGGTTTAAGGGCTTTAGGGGTTTTGGGATTATAGGGCGTTAGAGGTTCAGGGTTAAGGGTTTATATTTACACACACCATGTGACGGCATGTGCTGACACCCACTTCCTGTTCTGATCTTGTGTCTGTCTAGCTATCCGAGGCTACCCGTGTGTGTTGGTGGATGAGCCATTATGGGAGCCCCACACCGAAACGACAATACATGTGGGCCAACTCTGCCTCCATCGCCAGCATCGACAAAGGTAAGCTCCAAGTCGTGGCCTTGCGACGTGGCAAAGGTGCTGCAAAGAAAACTGCGAGGTATTACACAAACAAGCATGGCAAAAAGTGTTGGGAGGGTACACGATGGCTCAAGAAGACAGAGTGCCCTTTTTGCAATACTCTTGCTAGCTGCTAGCTGCTAGCCCATGAACTGTGCTGTGCTGGCACATGCTGCATTGTGTGTATATGTCCCAACACATTCGCTTCTGAATCCGAGGGAGTATCCATTGGCCTTCGCGCGGAAGCTGGTGTCTTTGAATGCGGACTTGGCGAGATCCGCTTGTGGTCAACCGACGCTACCTGATCCTCTGCCAGATGCCCTTGAAACCTTTCAGTCGATGTCTTGGGGCCAAGAGTCAGAACTTTGGCAGTTTGCAAAGCTGTCTGAAGTGTTCTTTTACATCAGAGGCAGCAAGCGCCTCCGTATTCCAGAGAAATGGGCACCTTTTATCCCGAAGGCATTTCCTGCTCTTTCCTAGGTGCTGATTGCTGGCCTTTCTAAAAGCTTCGATAGTCCGTGTGCGAGAGATAGCCGAGGGAGATGGGAGAGAGAAAGACAGCGAGGGAAATGGAATGAATGATGCAGCAACCCTAAAGGAAGCATTGGTCACGATGCTTACTGGTGGTTTCAATAACAAAGATAACCCGACATGCCTATATATATATACACATACACCCAAAACCCCCACACCCCTAAACCCCTAAACCCAAAACCCCAAAACCCCTGAACCCTTAAACCCTGGCTGAGCCCGTCACCTCAGGCATTTCGGGTGCTTATATAGGGCGTCAGGTTATAGGGTTTAGGATTTAGGGCTTGTTAGGGCTTTAAGGTTTAGGATTTAGGGCTTCTAGAGACGGCGATTCGAAAATCACCCAATCCTAATCAAGCGGTTCTTCGTAGTCTGCCCAAACTTGCAGAACTTCCTATAAAGTTTCACAGAGACAGTTCTTAGCCCCGGAGGATGCTGCTGCTACTAATACTACTACTACTACTACTACTACTACTGCTACCACTGCTGCTGCTGATGTTGCTACTACTATAGGAGCCGACTTCCACTGCAACTAAGACTATACCTTGTCAGCTGGGCGGGTGAGAAAAAGCACTAGACCACCAACATAAGAAAAAAAAATATATATATATATACCACCGCCGCTACGACGACCACGACCATGACCACCACCACTACCACCTGCCACTCCCACGGGCACTGCCACTAGCGTGACCACTACCACTTCCACGACCACTACTTCCACCACTGCTACTACTGCTTTGCTACTGCTACTACTGCTGCTGCTGCTCTGCTACTGCTACACCACTGCCACTATACTACTACTGCTACTACTACTACTACTACTACTACTATACTACTACTACTATTACTACTA